GTGATTGCGATTCAGATTCCTTATATCCCCACCCAATCGTTAACAATAATTTTACCATGAGAACTCGCACAAGAGAAGATTACTAAGCGAGATTGATTGCAATATAAAGAGAGATTAAAGAGAGCCGTACACTGACTGGTCACTGATAGACCAAAGCACAAGTGCTGGAATCTATTGCGAGAACTAAGCGATTTATGTACAACTTTACTTCAATATATCAGGCAGAAGATTTTATTAATCTAATAACCTGTTTTCACGTTGTGAACATGGACTTACAGAAAAGCGGAAGTCAATTTTCTCTCTAATGGGAGAAATATACTATACGAGATAGTGCACAGATGTAAGAGAAACTCTAAGGTAACTTTAGCTTTAATACCTGAGCATGCAAATATATTGCAGAAGGAGTACTCTGATAAGGTCGTGAGTATTGGTGCCTCCTCAATTAAATCTCATATCAATCCCTGCTAGCGTAACCATCCCAAATTATGCGAAGAATTAAACAATGGTGGATCCACTTTGCGACAAGGATGAAGAAATTAGTCTAATATCTCTTCAACAGACAGATCAAGACCTTCATACTCTTAATATAGAACTTTTGCCTTAATTCACAGGAATTCGAATTTCGAAGTACCTAAAATAGTATCGATTTTCAGTGGACATGTACGACAGCATGAAACCAAATTGTACCTATCCTGTCGAAACTTTTTTCCAGATCCTGGAGTTAGGTTATGTTATGTGAATCTGCAAACTCACATTGGTCGTTTTTGGTGCTATAACATTACACGGTTATAGTCAAGTATGGGCAATCCTGTCACGCTATTCGATTTTTCATCCGTAAACATGTATTTGGTACATTCCGTTGACTTACCCATTTAGTTGATATGCCACAGGATCAGTAAACTTGCGAACATTTACATGTCAAAAGTTTGACTCTATATTCTAGACTTTAACTCCAATTTCTGGAGTGATGACCACTTTTGAGCAATCTCAACTTTCGACGTCGCTTATGCTGGTATGATAACAACCGAATTCAGTGAACCATTTCTTAACCATTGAAATCAAACCCAATTATTGGAACCAAATCGCTATAGTATAGAATATTTTCTTGGCTTTGATGTTGGATTGTTTAACTCAAGAAATAATGATGAATGATGATTTGTTGTAATTTAAGGGGCTATCTGTTTTTGAATAGCTTTTGCGCACAAACTAGTTGATGCAGCTTCCTCGAAATTTTACAGTGGTTTATAAACAGAGGCAGTGGTAGTGGACAAAGGCAGTCAATGAATTATCAAACACCTCTCCTGTTATAGGTATATTGTATTATATCCTGGTGCAATCCACTTATGCGATTTTTATTGATTATATTCTTCTCTATTCCATGTGGTCATCATTTAATTCTTTCAGGAACGTGGAGAATTTAAGCTACACTGGACTTGTCTTATGACTATAAGACAATATATTGAACCGCGTGAACCCTTCAATCGCGTGGACTCTACAAATTTTTCTTGCCTTAGGACAAGTACTCAGCAGCAGCAGCAGCAGCAGTCGACTCGTGGATTGGGGTTTGTAATAAATTTAGTGCATGTTGACAGCTTTTATTGCTCGTGGCGCATGGATAAAGCATGACAACTCGACGCAATTGTGTACCATTCATAAAATTTATTTATTTCATGTTTACACTGCAACGCATCGCATTGCAACGGAGCTACAATCGCCTGCCCAACATAACTAATGCCGACCTGACAACGAGGAACGAAAAAATGATTGGTTCGAAGGCAAGCACATACCGTATATATCACATATCTGCACGGGAGTACACATGACTTTGATCTTGTGCAGCAGGCGTTCCACGCAGACGTCCTCAGTTGGAATTGCAACTGCAACTGCAACAGAACTGCGACTGCGACTGCTACCGAATTGATACTGTGCCAAATTTGGTTAAATTTATAAATTCTTCGCTGTTTGTAATTCTTGTACTTCCCAAGACTTCCTAAGCGAAAGTCAACACTTTCTATGCATTCGTGCGCGCCACCGAACGCAATGGGAAACCAATACGGGTTCCGCGTCCGTCACGCATATCATAAATTCTCTTTTAAACGAGCGCTGAGCTGAGCTGAGCTGAGTTGCGCTGTACTGCGCTGCGGCAACAAACTTTAGAACTGTTTTTTTTTGTGGATATTTCATTTCATATTATTTAATTTTTTCCTTTTCATCTTTGTATCTGCAACAAATAAGGCAACACTAAAACGCCGCTTTGATCGTGCAGCATTTAATATGTTTATGTCAATATTGCAGCAAATAAAATGATATTACAAGCAGACGGACATACGCACAATGAAGTGGACAAGCGGACAGACAGACATATTGTCGTTTTGTATTACTGCCGCTTGTGTTGAAGTTGGAGTTGATATTCTAGACTCTGGATTTCGCTAATAGCGGTGGTTGCTCTGCCTTTGATGATGTTATCGGCTCGTTTGGAGACAAGCTTGTCGTGTGGCTTTCATAATTTTGGGATATGAATTCATAAATGAAAATGAATTTTTTATTCTAATTTTAATGGAATTCAATTGAATTTCAATGTGGACATTATTTTAAATTATGCAATTGTCTTCGTGGAAAGGACAACTCAATGGATAAGGCGGTAAGTGGATAAGGCGATATGCATTTAATGTGCGAAGGAATGTAGAAGAGCATTCTTACGAAAAGTAAATAAACTTTCCACTAGGAACTTTACAAAATTAATTAATTTGTTTAATTTTAATATAAGACAATAAGTATTTATTTCTCAGACATATCGTCAGAAACAGCTTTAACCAAATCCCTAATAGCATTGAATTTCGGATTATTTTTATTGCCTAGTAGATTAAAGCAAATACTCTCACTTGTGGTTATCATCCCGCCCAAGTGACGCATAAGATTCAACGCCGTCCTACGATCTTGTTTAGCACGTGAACAGCAACAATCTGCTACCACATGGACTCTGATATCCTGGTTCAACAAATCCAGAACAGTTTGCTCAACGCATACATGAGCCTATCTTAAAAAAATGAGAAATGTTTGAGCATTTTTGGAAGGGATTTGAACCTATCACTCACCTCAATACCAAATATGACAACATCCGTTAATTTGTTCTCCGTGTAAACTTCTTGAAGCTTGCATTCCAACTCTGGTACCAACATGCTGAATTGAGTCTTTGCCGCTAAGACACACGCATGACTGATGTCAAGTTCCTTTGGAGTTCTGCCTAACTTTTCCGGATATTGTTCTGTGACGAAGAGTGGCACCTCCAATGCCTTTCCCATTTTGAGCTGCATAAGGAAAACAGAATAAGAATAGAATAGAATAATTATTGAATATATAAAAATGATAATTAATAAAATTATTTAATTTATTAATAATTGAATTCATTAAATATAATAAAAATAAAATCAAAAGCTCAATGAAGCATTGGCTGCAGCCACAGCCATTAATGATGTTTGCTGAAGTTTGCGTAGCATACTTTTGAAGCACAAAGTGAAACACAGCAGAAATAAAGTTCAGTTTCTAACACTGGGAAAGCTTTAAAAAGCAAACATACCACTTGTGCTTAATGCTTTAAGCTTTAAGCACAGACATGAAGTTTTATGGTGTGTGTCCACGCTAACCGATTTTTGTACTCAAAGCTAACATAAAAATTTCTAACAACGAAAACTACTGACATTCATCGAGCCACAGTAAAAGCAAAATTAAATTTTCTTCTTAGCTTCTTCTTATATGTGACGATATTTGTTTTAGTGATATAATTTCTCAACACATAAAATTCAGCCTTAAAAAGTTGTTTGTATTTCTAATATACATAACTTTTTTGCAATGGCTAAACATATGATTTTTCTAAAAATAACTATTAATATTTAAATTACACTTTAAAAGGAATTATAATTACCAATTTCGAAGTGTTCTTAATTAGTGAATCAAATAAAGGCATAGCTGGCCGAAATTTATCTTGAATATCACAAAGAAAAAAAGCCGTGGTTTTTGAATTTAATTTTGTAAAATTGAACTTCATTGTGAAATTAAATATAACTCAAATATAAAACCTTAATTCTATTTCACACCAAAAAAATAAACTCAAATAAATTTAAAATAATTTCAATCTGTCAAAAATTGATAACCTGTGTGAATGATTAGAAAAACAATAATATTCACAATAGTGTCAAACGAGTACATAGGATTATTTTTCTCGAATTCTGTCCGTGTTTAATAACAAAAAATAACTAAATGATTTCTTATAAATTTTGTAAACACCATTCTGTCAATCTGTCCAACGGCTGATAAGCGAAAAATTGATATATTTATATATTGCATATTTGGCTTCATAAAAAATTTGTTCACACAGTAAATTAAAATGCTTGTAAATAAAAATACTAAACATTTAAATTATAATTTTATTTTGTTTTGCTTTTGTTTACACAAATTAGTACCGCAACACAATTATACTTTTGTGAATAAATAAATGAATAAAATTTTAACTTAATTTTATTGATATTACAATTTAATTGCAATTCGCTAAGCGAGAGGTTGGCATCACTGCTGTAATCTGTCAAGTGTTATGTTTTGGCAAATAGCAAATCTTACATATGTGCACATAAATCAAGCAAAATTACATTTTGTATAAAATAAATAATTAATATAAAATTGAAAATTATAATAAATGGTAAAAATATTCAGAATTTCAAAATAAAACACTAAAATTTTTTCTATCTATATCTTCAAATTCTGATCTATAATCTATCTAATTTTTTCTATCTATATCTTCAAATTTTTGAATTTTTGTTTACATATGATTTTTGACATGTGATTGCAATATTCGTTCGAATTTAAAATGAAGATTCACAATAGTTCGCTTATTGTGTTGGTAATATATATTTTCTGTAGTTGCTAAAATATATGGCCACTTCACAACTAGGTACTTAAATAGAAAAAAAAGTATTGTTGTTTTGCGTACATTTTAGCAACTTAAGCTAGTAACTTGCTGTATTTTGCTCCCGAAATCACCTATTGTTTAATTATTATTATATATATATATAAATTGTTTTTTAAATTGTTTTTTGTCTGCGTTTTAATACAATTACAATGTATTAAATGTATTTATATTATTTTTATTATTTCACCAAAGATTTCTGAAAAATTAGAGAATTTAAGAAACAAAAATGATTATATAGCCTTCAATAAAAATATGTGAGCACTTATGTATCGTATCATATCGCATTATTTTTGTGAGAAAAAATTATGAAAAGCTAAAAATGTAACAAATATATATAATAAAAACAACTTGAATAACGTTCATATGTTATTCATATATGTGTTGTATATAACAGATATGTAATAGGTGTATTTTTTTGATTTGAATGCTGCAATAGAACATGTATTATTTAAAAATTAACATGCAAAAAACTCACGAAAATTAAATCATTTTCCTGAAAATGCTTAATGAATAAAAACATCGCACTAGACAGGTGCCAAATCTTAAAACCGATCTATTATGAATGATTTTTGGAAATAAGTGGAAAACTCCAGTCAGCTGTTTATTATGTACAACTATTGTGAGTGAATTTAAATGTTTCAAAAAAGTAATTTTTTAATAAAATTTATGTAGATGACTGACAGATAAGTAATTGTGAAGAAGTTAATTATTTATTAGTGAATTTTTAATTAATGTGTTTATTAAAAAATGCAATATAAGAATAAATTCAGAACACAATCTTTAAAATAAAAGCGAAAAGTTGTAAGACAATTGTAAGAAAATAAAAAGTGTTAAATACTGCTCATTTAACATTAATTATAGTAACTAATTTATTCACGACCTCGTTTTGACTATATGTATATTTATATAAAAAACTTTTTTGTAAAGTTCAACCACAAATTTGTTTGAAATTATCTTATTTGTCATATGTTTACTGGTTTAGACAGTGATACCAAATTCAAGCCCCAAAATAAATTCATTCAAGTACTAAAATAAATTATTACTTAAACAGGGAAGTTGCTTAAGCAATATTTCTGTTTTAAACAATTAGTGGATTTTGGCATAGATGGCAGCATTAGCAAAATATGGTTCGCAGTGCTACCAATTGGCTAATACATACACACACTTTACACCACGGCCGACGTTGTCGTTATCGTAAAAAAATGTATAAAAATCATGGGAAAAACAATCAATTAAATAATTAAATGTGCTTAAAACAATTATTTAATGTGTTAAGTGTTTGCATGTATCAAAAGTTCAAGAGATTTCGTACGTTGTTTTGTTCTAAATTCAGTAAAAATATATCCACCGCAAGTTCTCTGATCAACGTCTGTGCATAATAATACAGTAAAAAAAGTAGCAAAAAGAAAAAATAAAAAATTTGTTTGAAAACAACGAAAAACTTTCGTTTGCTGACAAAACAACAATAAATGATTACAAAATAAGATTCAATATTTGCTAGTATCGTATGTATCAGATACGTGACTAAAACCTAAACTTTTATTAACCAATCGTACATATGTAGGCAAATTTTGGCTAAATCCAGAAAAACTCATTATTTTTGGTTTGATTTTTCTCCTCTATATGTAATTATGTGTATGTGCGAAGAGGTGAATTTGCTATTGTGAACAGTTGTTGCTGCCAAAAGTATTTTGACATTTACACCACATTTTTCTATCGTTTGGCTGCGTCGACGGCGGCGTTTGTTAAGTGTTTGTACTGATTTTGCATAAAATGTGCGAATAGTGGAATAAATTTTTTTTTTTTGAAAACTTTAACTAAATTCTAACAATGAACAGATTACGTTGGTATACTGCATAAATAACCTTGCTGAAATGAAAGTTATAATTCCTACATCCTTTTGTGAAAAAATATGAAATAGTTCCATTCGATGTGCTCGTAGTACGCACGGTGGTCTCGTGTCAGATTTCGCCCTACGTCGCGATTGTGTATCGTAAATGTCTACATATGTATATTTGGGAATAAGGTGTAAATTTAATATGGTTAAATTTTATATATGTTAAATATAAGTTAATATAAAGCAATAACGAAAGAAATTTCAAATTTCAATTTCAAAGTAACGAAAGCCAAATACAGAAAGCAACACAAATGAAGGAAATAGCTAATTTCGAAGATACAACGTCATTTCCACAATAGTCGGGAGCAAAAAATTTGCCAATGAGTCGAAGACAGTCATTGGATCGGCCAGGTGTGTATAGATTTTATTTTTATGCTAATATTTTGTTATTTATAAAACAAAAATGCAATACCGTTTTGTTTTCCTTTTTTTTTCTTTTTTTTTGTTTTTTTTTTTTTGAAGTGAGAAATGAAAAAAAAAATATATTTATACATTTTTTTTTTATTTTCCTCTTTCATTTGTGCTAAAAATAATATTTCAACATCAACAAGACCACTTTTTCCTTTGTTTTCATCATTGACATCTTTTATTTTCTTGTATGGCAATTTACCATTTTTTCTTGTGTAGATAAAGAGAGAGCGCGAATGTGGTCGAGAGAAAAACGTCGAGAGACAACGTTTAGAGAGCAAGCCTGAAAAGAAGTAAACAGAGTAAAATGTTGGATTTGTTTATACATATGTTTTGTATAAATAATTTTTCTTTCTAAAAATTTCTTTCTTAATTAACGCTAATAATTTATTATAAAAGTGAATAAAAAGAGCTTTAGAATACAAATATGTAAATTATTTTATATACAGTAATTTCTATTAGTTTTTCTCATTACTTCAAAGACTCATTACTTCTTATTAAGTGCTTTTTTAAGATACATTTTAATGTATTTAATTTTTTTTTTATTGTTAAATAAATATTTTCAAACTACTTGACCCAAATTTAATTCAAAATGGAGTTCATTTCTTTTTGATTGGTTTGTGTGTGTGTAATTGTATTCCCAGTAGAAAAAGTGGTCTTCGAAGACATTGTCTTCAAGACGGTCTTTGATACCGCGTCCGCATGTTCAAGCAAATTTGAAAAACAATTGCTCAAAACATGAATATAAATACTCTTTCTTTGCTTTCTCTCTCATTTTTAGTGTTCATAGCAACGTATTTGAATTTTGCCTCAGATGACGCTATGTTTTATAAATGAAGTGACGCAATAATTTTGAAGTGTAGTAAATAAACATTTGTGAAATAAATATTAAAAAAATCAAAATGAATAAAGAAACAAAATCATTAAACTATGAAATATTAAAAAAAAGAAATTAAATCAAAACAAATTAAATATTGACTTAGTTCCTGGAAAATATATTGATATTAATATTGAAGACAATAATTCCAGTGAAAGTTGTTTAAGAAACGAAACAAAGGATGTTGAAAATAAAAAAACTAAAAACACTTGTGAAAAATTAGCTGTTATATTTAAAAGACACAGGATTAACAGGCGTTGTGGTAATGATATTTTAGAACTCTTAAGATCAGAAGGTTTAATTGTACCAAAATCCTCTTCAACGCTTTTGAAAACATATAAAACTTCAACAATAGATGATAGCGAAA